AAGCTCGCCTCCATTGTAGTTTCTAAGCATACGGTAATTTGAGCTTTTACTCTGACTGACTTTCGGAAAGGGGCGTGCTCATCATGGAGTTAATCGATAACTGCCAACCTACAGTAACATTATTATGAAATATTTTGTTGATAGCACATCTTCTCACGAAATACATAATTATCTCTCAAAATTTCTATATTTTTCTGCATAACGCTAGCAAAAGGCGTTTAGAGTTTCTTCTCCAAACATTTTAGAAAAAATCTTTGATCCCATTTCCAGGTCGTCCAGCCCTGTTTCAGTAGGAGGAGACTTCGTGTCCCTGGGAGATTATGATCCAAGTAATTGTTATTTTCCCAAATTGACTACACTGTTCTCGAATATATCTATATACTCAGGTACTGCTTTGTGCGATTCGCCAGTTCTGTCTGACGCGCAGATTCGTCGCCTTTCCAGCTGCGCAATGGCGATATGTCAGAAAATCCCACGACTTCCTCCGAAACTCGTACAGAATAAGAAAAGAGTCTCAAAGTACGTCTTTGTTTTCATATAGTTAATCTTACAACATATTTAACGTGTATCGTTTAAATGTAATAGATTTATAATCGAAAGGAATTATGAAAAGTGACTCACCTTACTAACGCTCGAATTCTGTCTCTCCATCTAATGCAATCATTTCTTCCTATTCAATTATCTATTTTGTTTTTTTAAGAGAGGTGCTCGATCTTCTTTCTGCTTCTGCCGACACACCAAATCGTCTCGCTGAATATCGCAAGTATTCCGCAATTTACGGGCGATTCGATGCTAAAAGAAAACCGGACAAGGTTAGTATTTATAAATTTTGTTTATACTTGACTGCTGTAATGCACTCTTAATTACGATTGATGAAATTATTCACGAGCATATCTATGCGAAAAGGTGAGAAGTTCATGGCAGATGCAGAATAGTTGGACCAAATACATATTCAAACAATTTTTGAGAAGTGCTAAACTTAACGGGATTTCCTGATTTATTCGTAAAAGCTGTGACGAACTGACCTATAGTCAATTAACTATTATGAAATTGTTTTACAATTCTGCAATAGTATGTTTCGCTATTATTGGCTGTCGGGAAAATAATGGCAAATATTCATAGGTGTAGTTTGGCAAATAGTTTGAAAATGCTTATTTTAATAAAACATGATGTACCATTTGAGCTCATCACGCGTT